GTGTTATGTCCTGTGTGTGTGTGTGTGTGTGTGTGTGTGAGTGAATGTGTGTGTGAGTATGAGGTTCTGTGGCGTGTGTGTGTGAGTGTGTGTGTGTGAGTGAGTGTGAAGTTATGTGGTGCGAGTGTGTGTTAGTGTGTGTGTGTGTGTGTGTGTGTGTGTGTGAGAGTATGAGGTTCTGTGGTGTGTGTTATGTTCTGTGTGTGAGTGTATTATGTGGTAATGGGAATCTGGGACGTCTCTCTTCACACAGACGCGCGATCTGATTGGCTGTGGTATGCGACGTGAAGCACCTATCAATCAAATATGTTGTCATCCTTTAGCCACTCCCTTTATTACCAGAGGAAAGGCGGAGCCTCAGGTTATGTGAGAACAATTTCATTCAATTTGAACTGTTTTAATGTGTGTGTGTGTGTGTGTGTCTTCAGACTTCTCTCGCCATCCGTTTTGCACAAGAGGCTTTTGGGAAACAGTATAAACAGACGATAGGGCTGGACTTCTTTCTGAAGAGAATCACCCTGCCAGGTTAGACACACACACTCTCTCTCTCTCACACACACACACACTCTCACACACACTCTCACACACTCACTCTCTCACACACACACACTCACACACTCACTCACTCACTCACTCTCACACACACACACACACACACACACACACACACACACACACAGGACATAACACACACCACAGAACCTCACACTCACTCACACACACACACTCTCACACACTCACTCACTCTCACACACACAAACACACACACACACACACTCTCACACACACACATAATTACACACATATACAGTATTTTGTAAGATTTTTAATTAATCTTTTTTTATATTTTTCCTCTTCCTTTCAATTTGTTTTAATAATTTTGTGTTGTTGACATTTTTATTATTTTTGTATATGTCTGCATAGGTTTTATTATCTTTACTTTCATTTGTAGTTTACTTTGTACGTCAAGTTAAACTAAATGAAAATAAGACATTTTATTTCAGTTCGTTTTTTTTCCACGTACCAATTTTTTTATTTTAGTTTGTTAAATATATAATATCTCTGATTACCACATGACTGAATGAATAAACATATGAACATACTCGATAATCAACAGGTTTAGAACTGAATTGAGAATGACTTCTAAATTCCAGTTCAGTTCTGAATTTGAGATCAGCTAGCAGTTCAGTATAACTAGAGTTAATAAAATCACCTGAAATTCTGCTGTAAGTGTAGTTTTAAATAATATATTTCAAATTTGACGTCATTTTAATTATGTGTTGCTTGCGTTGGACTAACGAAGTTCATCTAATTGTGTCATAATGTTGAATTATAATTCATCAAATTCTTCTTCATGTCAGATCAAGGTCTAGTTCAGCATCCTGTGTGTTTGTGACTAATTTCATTCACATTCACACTCGTTAATTAAAAGCATCAATTAAAAAGTGACAAGCCGTGATATTTAGAGACAAAAACATTTCAGTGTGTTGCTTTAATTTGCAAATCATAATGAATAAAGTCACACTGCAAGACAATTTCGACACTGGACTGAAAAAAGAAGGCAGCTTTTGAATAGATAGAGTTTGCACAGATTTAGTTGCACCCAGTAATCAGAGAAGATGAGGTTTTCTCTCAGATCTGCACTGCTGGATGAATGCATCTCTGTGCTGATGCTGGAGTGTTTCTGGAGCGCTGTGGGTTTGTGAATGAATCACTCCAGTGTGTGTGTGTGTGTGTGTGTGTGTGTGTGTGTGTGTGTGTGTGTGTGCTGTACGTCTGCCTCTCTTCAGCTTTATTACCTACGAAAGCTCTTCAGTCCTAAACAAACACGCAGAGCTCGCTCTCAAAGACAGGTTGTGTGCTGTAAGCTCAGGAACCAGTGTCCAGTGTGAGTTAGTTTGATGTTTAATTGCAGACTGAGAGACCAATAGACTGTGCATACTCTTGAGTGTTTACTATTATTGTCTATGTGGGAAATCTCATGTTTATTATTGGGAATGATAATTGTTTTCTATAAAGGAAAGCTTACATCTTTTCAGCATTTCACTGAATTGCTCTCACACGCACGCTCTCACACGCACGCTCACACTCTCACACGCACACTCTCACACACTCTCACACGCACACTCACACACACACACGCTCACCCTCTCACACGCACACTCTCACACACTCTCACACGCACACTCGCACACGCACACTCGCACACTCACACACACGCACACACACACACACACGCTCACACTCTCACACGCACACTCTCACACACGCACACTCACACACACTCTCACACGCACACTCGCACACTCACACACACGCTCACACGCACACTCGCACACGCACACTCACACACACACACGCTCACACACACGCTCACACGCACACTCACACGCACACTCACACGCACACTCACACGCACTCTCACACACACACCCACACTCACACTCTCACACTCACG